ACCCTACCAGGGGGCAAAAGCCCCCAGACAACATAGCCCCTGGGATCCCTGGGACACACAAACCCCTCCACCACGATAAGGTAGCGATTCACCCCACTGCTGATGACCACTGAAGTATTCAAGCATAAAACAGGTGTCTGAATCTAAAGATGAACCAGTTTTAAGTCTAAATGCTTGAATGTAAATGCAGCTTTTCATATACACAAAGCTCCCAAACATGTTTCTAGCTGGAGACCTAATTCAGAAAAAAAGCTTGTTGCAGCCGTGGCTCAGATGGCAGAGCTGGTTATCCAGTAAAAACAAGATTTCAGGTTCAGTACCCCTGTACATGTACTTTTCTTTCTGCACATGTACAGGAGTCGACAAACTGGTTAAACGTATCTGTTTGCTTAAATGACAGCAATGAACTCATGGAATGAGCAAAACACTTGAACCCCACTGCTGATGACTGTTTTCTTAGTGGGAAGTGGTTTCAGTGTCAGATGCCAGCTCTGAAGTTAAACAGAAAAAAATAAAGATAAAAAGTTACATACTAAATGACACACACACACTCATTTTCATAGCTTAGTGAGGACATCTCATTGACATAATGCTTTGCCTAGCCCCTTACCCTAACTCTAACCATCAAAAACAAATGCCTAATCATAACCCTTAGCCTAAAACTAACCATAACCTAATTGTAACCCTGACACTAAAGGTGCATTTGAGCCTCAAAAATGCCTTCAAACAAATTTTTGATTCAAAGGAGACCAACTATTGTTACATGGCAATTACAATACATGAATTTTAAAAGTAGACCTATACTTACCCTAAATTCCTAATTCAGAAAACTAACCATTAATAAAAGAAAGCTTCTCTTGTTGCAGCTGTGGCTCATATGGTCATATGAGCACTAAAAACATGGTTTCGGGTTCAGTGCTGCACATGTACCACAGTTGGCAAACTGGTTTAATTTTTTGATAAACAGAAACATTCATGGCATGACAGGAAGGTAAAGGCAAAAACAAAACAGGCAGGTACAAATGATTTCTCTTTTTATCTTATCTTGTGCGTTTATCCTTGTGTGTTATCAAGACAGTCATTGAGGTATGTATTTAAGTACTGTTTGCGTACATTGGTAGGTGTTTCTACATCTGTTGACAGATTTCGTTCACTGTGCAAGAAAAAGTTTGAAGGTATGCAGTTTATGTAAGAGCTGAAAGGTCAGCATGCCACTCTAGATATCTTCGTATTAGAGACTGATGATAGATACATTTCTTTCAGGTTAAAAGGCGTGGTGCTGGAAAGTATAGATAAAGCAATTTACTGATGGTACTTGCTGATGGCATCAGATTTTACCATTAGACGAAAAATGTTTACATGAGAGAACTAAAACCTGTAATGTTCTGAAGGTGGTCTGACATGTTGTTGGCTCTCTTGGTGTGGGTATTCTATTACTTCCTGTTCCCGTTTCACCACAATGCACTCTGACGGTTTGTGTAGCTTACTAAGTGTAGCCCTTTTAACTACAAACCTTTAGACTATGAAATAAGTCATTATCTAATCTTTAAATGATTTATCCAAAACTACTGAATCACCTGTAAGTAGTAATCACCTGCTAGTTTAGCCTAGCCTTTAGCCTGGCCTCAAAAGCTACAAACAGCCTATATTTATTAGAATATTGTTATTTCTAAGAGAGGCTGAGGATTAGCTAAACATCTGACATACTGAGCAGGAATGCAGGAGGAAAAGGTTAAGAAGACATGCTGCTAGTGACTCTTTCTGAGACTAGAGCTGCTGGAGGGTTCTTCCTGTTAAAAGTGTTTTCTCTTTCCTCTGATGTCAAGTGCTCGCTTATAGGAGGTTGTCTGATTTTAGAGGTTTTCTCTCTATTACTTACCTCATAGTGTACTTACTCACTACATTTCAACAAAATATCTGTTCTTTCTACTTCTTATACTGCTGCTCCTTCTCAGTCTTTGGGGACACCTGAAGCATTTAAGATCAGGAACCTTATTTTCGCTGATCACAGTTGGTTTAACCACACTGTTGCTGCTGTTGGCTGAAGGCCTCTTATCTACAGAACAATATGGGATAATGTCACTGAGTCAGCATTTGGATATTTACAGATTCAAATACATGCTTATGTATGTGAGCTTTTACGTGCAACAGCTTCACATTGTGGTCAGCGGTGGAATTACATCCATGCTGAAAATAACTAACACTGATTATCAGTGGGAAGAATTTAATTAGTCTTTGTGAAACAGAAATGTGGTTTGTAAAGGAGTTGTTATGCGCTTTAAAAGAACCTGATTAAACATTAAACCAGGATAACATCTGGATGGCATCTGATCAAATCTGGCTGCTGAATCAATTCATTCAGTGAAAACTGACACAAGCTGACAACACAAACATGTTTCCAATAATGACATTGAGCAACAAACCGAGACAACCAACTGTATTAGAGGCAAAAAGCAAAACACGTTTTTAAAAAAGAAAAAAAAAACAGTTGTCCAAAGTGGGGAGCACAGTGTTGTGATGTCTAACACTGTTTCCTCACAGCACTACGATTCTGGGTACTAATCCGCCATCTGTCCTTAGTGGAGATTATATGTTGTTCCCATAAGTGTGCAAATGGTTGTCTGTGTTAGTCCGAGGACAAAAGGCCACCTGAACAGGGTGCCTCTCGTCGTGTGGCAGCTGGGATATTTTGTTTTTATTGTTGGTGAAGAACTGAAAACTCAGAATTTACATTTAGACTAGGATTTTGTTGAACTTGCTTCCTGCACCAGTCCCCTGATTCCAGTGTTCGACTGGCAGTGTTTCATCTTCAGAGCGGTGAAGACTCACACGAAGCTGTAGGCTGTGTTTCCTCCTGTGAGCAGCAGAGGGCAGTACAGACTGATGTGACTGAAAACATTCATGGCTTTATTTTTTAAGTCACAAAGTCACCATTCAGCCATAGAGACATTTTATATCCATTTAACATTAGACCGAGAATACTGGTGTGTGACCAGTAAAAGGTGTAAAATGTTTGTGTTTGTCCCTCTGGAGTCATTCATTTTTTAAATCAACTCTGGTATTTCACAACTTTAACCAGTGCATCAGTTTGAATGGTTTTTACTCCTAATTTAATTTTGAAATTTGAATCCTAATTTGAAGCCATTTTTAACCTGACAGAATATAGTTTGAATGCAAAACATGGGATAATTGTAATATAAAAAGAATTAAGATACACAATGGGGGAACTTTAAAGTCAATGCTATATTTCAGAGACCAATCACTGAATATTATCTTTAGAACTTTTTCTTAATATGGAAACAACAGATTTAGGATGATTCCAAACATTTTTTACAAATAAATAACTGCAAAGTGGGGTGTGCGTAATTATTCAGCCCCCTTTGGTCTGAGTGCAGTCAGTTGCCCATAGACATTGCCTGATGAGTGCCAATGACTAAATAGAGTGCACCTGTGTGTGATCTAATGTCAGTACAAATACAGCTGCTCTGTGACGGCCTCAGAGGTTGTCTGGTCAGAGTTGATGGGAAGATGGATGGAGCCAAATACAGGGCAATCTTGGAAGAAAACCTCTTGGAGTCTGCGAAAGACTTGAGACTGGGGCAGAGGTTCACCTTCCAGCAGGACAACGACCCTAAACATAAAGCCAGGGCAACAATGGAGTGGTTTAAAACAAAACATATCCATGTGTTAGAATGGCCCAGTCAAAGTCCAGATCTAAATCCAATCGAGAATCTGTGGCAAGATCTGACAACTGCTGTTCACAAACGCTGTCCATCTAATCTGACTGAGCTGGAGCTGTTTTGCAAAGATGAATAGGCAAGAATTTCAGTCTCTAGATGTGCAAAGCTGGTAGAGACAGACCCTAAAAGACTGGCAGCTGTCATTGCACCAAAAGGTGGTTCTACAAAGTATTAAGTCAGGGGGCTGAATAATTACGCACACCCCACTTTTCAGTTATTTATTTGTAAAAAATGTTTGGAATCATGTATGATTTTCCTTCCACTTCTCACGTGTACACCACTTTGTATTGGTCTTTCACGTGGAATTCCAATAAAATTGATTCATGTTTGTGGCTGTAATGTGACAAAATGTGGGAAAGTTCAAGGGGGCCGAATACTTTTGCAAGCCACTGTATGAGCTAGTTTTCATTCTCAGATGGGCCCATTTAAAGTTCACTTTTACATTTAAAAGTGGCCGTCTATTGCCAGGACCCCTCAACTTTGGATTGACCTGCCTGAGGAGATCAGGCTCGCCAAATCTATGACTTCCTTCAAGTCTCTTTTAAAACACATTTTAAAAAATGATTATTGATTGAAAAATGATTAATTTTTGTGGCTTTATCTGTATTGCTGTTTTTTGTTTGTTTTTTTACTTTATAATATTAAGAGCTTTGAGGAGTTCATGTAAAAACATCTGTTTTGTTGGGTCATGTGACTCAGAGGAAGCAGAGGAATTCTTGGCAGCTGTTTGTCATCAGGGCTGATTGTGGCCCAGTTTAGATAAGGCACCGACGTTATGTCACCTTTTCACGCTGCATGGTAAGTAAGCTCCTTGGCTGATGGACTCAAGCCTTTCCGCTCACTCAACCAAGCATACACCTCATCACTGATTTACTGATCTTTTTCTGTAAATGTTAAACTCACACTAACAGCTATACAATGCAGTGACCTATGGCAGCTTCGCAACTGAAGAACTGACTTTGTTGTAAAGACAAGATGAGCAAAGTTAACACAAACCTCAATTGGTCTCTAACCTTTGTAATAATACATAAATAAAATAACAAACTGGGGACAAGAGATGCCACAAAGGGCACATCCAATTAAGTAATAATATAATGGAGAATTTCCAGTAGCAAAATGTTGTAAAGACACAAGTGTAACCTGTAAACCAGGTTTTAATGCATACGACAGCAAGAGTCAGCAGCATTATCTTGTTATTTTGAAAACCAGTGACAGGATTTCAGAAAAGACAGTTGCCAGGTGCAGTCATGTGTAAAGACTGGAGGTTCAAAGAGCAGTTGCATTTACTTGAATGAGAGAACAGTAAACAATCCATGCTCATTTTCCTCATCTTGTGGGCAGGTGCAGAGCCACCAACACATCTTATGTGACTATCATATTGTGAAAATCCAAAAGGTAATGGTAGAATCAAAACCAGCAGGTAGAAAATGTTTATCGATATAATTATTGACTTGTTGTTACTGTAACCTGCACTAAATATTTGACATGTGCTGCCAAGAGTACCTTGCAGAGCAGCCACACTTTGAAAACGTGACAGGAGTGGGCATGGTTTATGTTAAGGTTATATTTGGTTTGGTGTGTTAGGTGAAAAAAAAGAAAGAAATCTTCCTAAACTTATCTGAGGGGTTTTACAAATCAAAGGTCCTCAGTCAGTACAACATCATAATAAATTAGAATGTAATGACCATTTCTATTGCTAAAAACAGAAGCAGACTGTGTTCCAGGCAAGGACAACAAACAGGATGTTGGGAAAAAGATAAAGAGTATTTATTCCATTTGCGATTGTCCAGTCTGAATACAGCAAAGACTGAAGTATGGGCATCATAATAAATATGTTTATGATTTTCCTGTTGTTTTGTTTTATATAGACAGCAATAGGGGTTTTTTTTTGTTTGTTTTACTGTCATACAAATGCCTCGCCTATTACAAAGGCAAAGAAAATGTATAATTGTTAGGTGTGGCTGTGTGCAGACAGGAAAAGGACCCAAGGTGCAGACTCCAGAGACAGACGTGAACTCAAAAAAGGCTTTTAATTAAGTACTCAAAATATAACATAACTGAAAAAGGCTCAAAACAAACTTAAACCAGAGAAATGACAGAACACACAGCAACGTAAACGGTAGATCGCGACACAGACACCAAGAAACACAGGGCTTAAATACACAGAGGGAGCAATCAGGGAATGGGTAACAGGAGGGAAACACAGCTGGGGCAAATCAGGCCTAACGAGACAAGGGAAGCAAAACCAGACACATTAACATCAGACATGGACTTTCAAAGTAAAACAGGAAACATAACACAGACTCACGGGCAGGCACTATAACAAAAGGGAACAGAGACGTGGGAACAGGGCAGACACAAACACTGACTGAACACGGGGATATAGGAACTTAAGATACACATAGACACGAACTAGACAAGGGGATGCAGGTGATAGGGGAGACAGAGCAACTAAAGAAGACAGAGACATAAGCCATTAGATAGAACTCAAAGAAACCAAAAACTAGACAGTATAAATAATATAAACTCAAAAGCCCTGGGTCGACGACCCAGGCATCCTAACACATAATAATAAATGAGAGAACTATACAGAATTATACTTTTCAAAATCATATGCATTGAAATATCTATTCATTAATGTGTATATAATAATCATCATAATTTAACTTTAAGCCGACTTTAAACAAAAAGGAGAAATGGCAAAGATGAGAAAAATTGAAGAAGATTTGGAGGAGATTAAGCTGTAGCTTAACTCGTTGTCAACAGATGTCAAAAGAATAGTTAAGCAACAAGGACTGTTAACGAATTTAATGGACCAAATCAAAGAATTAAAAAGCTTGATTAACAAAAAGGATAAAACAATCCAGCTCTTAGAAAGGAGAGTGGAGGATTTAGAACAGCATGCTAGTGATGTGCGGATCGATCCTGAAATATCGATTCCTCCGATACCAATCATTTATGTTCTAGAATCGATTCTCACATTAAAATATCGATATTTTAGTAATTTAGGGTAAATTTGTAGTTTATCATTAACAGGAACACAGTGGAAAGAAACTATATCATTCGGATTGTCTACATTGGAAGGAACTACTTCCTCTTCCGCCTTTCATAGTCATGTGCGAAATACGGCTGTATAAATGTGTCGCAGCCCCTTGGCGTGCGCACTCACAACAATGGCTGAGCGTAATTGGAGCTTTTTGGCAGCTTGCATATTATCAATGTTAATGTTCCTTTAAAAGTTATTCAGCAGTTCTTGGAGAGTGTTTGGGATATAATATGTCACATGTAACCCTTCTGGAATGATATCCAACAAGTTTGAAGCGAAAATTGTTTCAGTGACAAGTATATAGGTGGCAATCACTTTTTGGCAGCTTGAAAATGACTATTGTCGTTATAAATGTTAAGTTTGAAGCAGAAATGTTTCAGTGACAAGTTATAGGCCACAGTCATTTTTGGTAGCCCTAAAATGGCATGTTCTCAGCCGTTATTCTGAACAAACAAGAAAGAGTCATAGTGATACTGGCACAATAGGTCTTTATTGTTTTAACTACTATTCGACAGTCTTACAAAAAATATGAACAACGCGAGTAAATATACTAAACCTGATGCGTGTAGTCATTCGTGACTGTGCCACACACTGAAAGCAACCTTCTGACAAGCGTCATAATTCGGTTAGAAGACACGTTAAAGTTCCACAAATGCGCATACATGTTTTTGGGTTTTTTATATCAGTTGCACGGAAGTAGCTTTCAACGCAAGCAATCCGGGCGCTGCAGCTTTAAGCGGCTGCGCGCGCTCCCGCGGACGGCAATCACTTTCTGGCAGACAATCATTTTTCGGCACAACTTCCTCGCATCGCAGGCTTGCCTCTGCTAAAACTTAACAGAGCTCCCTGAAAGGCACAACCAATAACATTGGCCATATTTGTCACATGATGTAGGACTCCAGTAGAGAACATATTTTAACTCTTTGAGCACCGCTAGGTGAATGAGACGTTGACAGATCTTTTTTTTTTCCAATCGGCTTTGATTTTCTTTACTTGAAGAGATCAAATTATTGGTGGGGACAATTTAATAATCGCTGGATATTGGTGGGGACATGTCCCTTCCGTCCATGCCAAATCTACACCCTTGGATTAGTTTAAGGAGCTAAAAGCTGTTGATTTGTGGTTTTCTCTGTGGATAGGTTAGTGACTCATTTTTAATATATATAAAACATTAATTTCTTGATTTGATTGATTTATAGAGAGTGTAACCAGACCTTTAAGAGATAACGACAGAAGAGGGTGTGGTTTCTCTGTACTTTTTATATATCAGAAGTGAAAGCAAAACCAACCAAACTTACCCGAATGAAGGTTTTAAAACAAAGCTCTGCAACCATACTAACTGACATCTCTGCTTAAATTAAATCATTTTCAATCCTTACTTTTTTCCTGGCAAACAAAATAAACCAGAAGAAGACAGTGTACCACGTGAAGGTAAAGGATGTCTGGGAAAAGGTAAAGTAAAAATGATCTATGCTATGACTGGCCACATTATATACTGCAAAAACATTAGTATAAGCTGCTCGGGTAATTATATTTAATGAAAAATCAGAAAACATGTTTTTCTTATTCAGTTTTTTTATGGAAATAAGAATAAGAAAAAGAATAACAAGTAAAAAAAAGTTTCAAGTAAGTTGTTATTTTATTACTCCGTATCAGCCGAGATAAATCAACATACAGACAATATTGTTTTATGTTATAGAAAGGAGCTACAGACGGCCTTATGCCACTACATCACAGACACCCTCACCTACATCCACACGGTGACAGGATTCTGTGAGGGGTTCTCTAAATGGCTGCTGTGGACAGAGACTGAGTTAGACACCTTGATGGATATCAAAGATGGCATTGACGCACTAGACCTGAAAATCACACATGTTTACAATTCAGAGGAAAAATGCACGGCCTTTCTGAAATTCATGAAGGACAAAGTAAGTGCAGATAGCAGGCGTGAAAAGCTGGAGAAGGAGCTGACTGAAGTGTTGGAGTACGTTTTGAGAGGCCAGGAGAAACTCGAGCCTTTCTTGGATGCAGTGGAGAAGCTGGCAGTCACCTCACTGCAGGTATTTAGAGAGAACCAGGAGTTACACCTGCCTGAAGGGATCAGACTTGAACATATTCAGTCTGTCATCAGTGCTGCACAACAAATCTGCCCTCTGCTGCTGGAGTTTAAAAGAGATTCAAAAGTCTTCTTTCTCCCCAAACTTGAGAATGTGGATGTGCTGGCATATCAGCTGGACAGATATATAGTGACCTCCCAGGAAATCCATGAGAAGCTGGAGGAAAGGTAACATTTAGTAAATCCCATATTTTGTTTTTCAGTTATTCAATTCTTATCTTACTACAGAAGCAAGAACACATAAGAAGTGTAACTGTTTCTTCCACAGTACCATAAATAATATCTGGCTGAAGAGCACAAAGGCTGTGGTAGACTTGAATGTGGATTTGTCTGAGGCTGGCATAGAAAGTATGCTTCATCATATTTATCTGCTTAAAGAAATCAGGTAAGTCTATCAGTGTACAGCATCACTCACAAATCTTTATCTGTCAGAATAATATCTGAAATTCCATATCTCTAAAGTGAGGCGTTTATGATGCTATATATGGTCATGTGAGAGATTTAAAGGAACTATTGTGATTGAATGGGTCAGCAAAGAATGGTCTTCTTATAGACTTATTTTAAATTTAATCAGAATTTTTGCCATAACCTGGTTATAAACATAACCAGGGTAATTTTGTACCTCAAAAAATTGAAAGAAAAGAGAAATTGAAAAAAAGAAGAAACATCATTTAAAAGTAAAGAAAAGGTAAAATTCTAGGGCATTAAAATTGCATCAAATTAACAGTTGAATGTTTTCACTAATACTAGTGGTCCAACTAGAGCTTAGATCACAAAAAAAAAGACTCAATCAAATTATGGAATGTTTCACTTTGAAGGTCAGGTATATCCACCCGTCTATCCAAAGCACTTTAAAACAACCACAGCTGACACAAAGTGCTGTACATTGAAATTAAATTTAAAAAATACATAAAATATCAATAAAAAACAAATTTACAAGAGGGCCAAAAACCAAAGAATAAAAAAGTTTTTTTTTCTTCACGTTTTAAAAGTGGACAGCGAATGGACCCCTCTAACATCCAAGGGCAAGTTATTCCATAATTTAGGAGGAACGCTAGAAAAAGCCCTGTCCCCTCTGAGCTTCCTCCTAGATTTCAGTACTTCCAGGAGCAGCTGGCCAGCTGCCCTGTGAGACTGACAGTGTGTAGGAATGAAGAAGCTCAGAGAGGTAAGGCAGCACAAGATTGTGAAAGCATTTAAAAATGCTTTTCAGTATTTTCTAATATTTGCATTTTCAATAAAAAAATTTTATTATCAAAGCAAATATTTTATTTTTTATTTTAACATATTATAATGTTCTTGTCTGTCATTTAACTAATTACTTACACTTAAGAGCACAAAATTACAGAGTTTAAAACTTTCTTCTTCCTCACTAAGGATGGACCCAAACTTCCGGATGGTGTTTTTATTCCAGGAAAAGTCCTGTTCTGACTTCATCAAAGTGGTCCAAAACCGACAGCCGGATATGCTGAAGTTCCTAGAAGACCTGGAGCAGTGTGCTGTACAGTTAGATAGAATGAATAAGGGAGCAAAAATCTCTAGCATAACAGGCAGCTCAGTGGGAGCGGTTGGAGGTGTGCTGTCCATTGTTGGTTTGGCGTTAAGTCCTGTAACAGCAGGCGCATCTCTGGGTCTGTTAATAGGTGGGACAGTAATGGGAATCTTGAGTGGAACCAACAGTGCTGTGACCACATTCACAGAGATGAGAGTTAAAAGAAGAGAAAAAAACAAAGCCAATAAAGTCTTTCAGAAGTTCATGAAAGATGTGCAAAATATTAAGAATTGTCTGGGAAAGGTGATCAGTCAACCAACTGATAACATAGAAGTGGGTTTTTATAAAAATATGTGCATGGGATTTGGAAAAGTTGGGTCAGTTGGAAAGAAGATACGCACCCTGGTTAAAGATGCTTCGAATGTTAAATTGGTAAAATCTAAAAACCTGGTTACAGGTTCTGGCAAGAAAACATTCAAAGGGTCTCTTGCTCTCTCTAAGGCAGGCAGAGCTAGTGCCATTGCACTAAATGCTTTCTTTCTAGGCATGGACATCATCTCCATTTGTCAAGAAAGCATCAGTCTGGGTAAAGCCAACAAAACTAAAACCTCGCAGTTCATCAGCGCCAGAGCTTCACTTTGGAAGTCAGAGATGAAGTCATGGCAAAACATCTGTGACTCTCTGAATGAAGGTCTGAAGACATCAGACAAAAAGAAAGCTTTCCTAGAGATGCCTTTTTATCCAGAAATGAAAAGACAAGTACAGAAAAAACAGTCTGTGTCTTTTGTGGAAATGAATGAAAAAGAGAGAGAAATTATGCACAATAGACAGTCTGTATCTTTTGAGAACAAACAAAGAGGCAGCAAACTGAAACTCAAAAGAGAGATTTCTTTATTTATTGTCGTCCTAGGCTTATTAGGGTGTGCTGCATGGCTCTGTGGTACATTTACCAAGAGTACTTAAGTTGACATCGAGGAGTACGAAAGTGTGCCACTTTATCTTTGGTTTTTGTGGCTAATGTGGACTTGTGTGGAAATTCTGACCAATTTCTTGAGCTATACTCTCTTTTGTCAGGATCAAAGTTTTGCTAACATCTTTCTTGTTGCTCTCAGAAATATCAGCGTAGCAATATTAATTTAGACTTTGTAATAGTTTGTTTTGCTTATGATTCTGCCTTCTCCAATTCTTATTTTCCCCCACAACATTTTCTTCATTGGAATGTAACAGTAGTACGGTGTGGGGATCAATGGACAGACTCATTGTGTAACTGTTTGCTGATTCAGATCCATGTTAGGTGGTCAAACCATATATGAAATAAAGCCTGTACTCTTTTCAGCAGTCAGTGCAATTTAGCTTTTAGCTGATTGTTAATTAGCTTTAGACCTCTCAATTTACAAATCCTGATTTCCTAGAAATTATTAATCATATTTTGTATGTCATATGGATACCCTGTCAAGCATACCAGTTGTGAGATTATTTCATATATCAGTTATTAATGTTTTGATGCATGCTCAATCATCCAGGTAAGGAAATTCCAAAAAATTGATTCTGTTCATCTAGACGTAGAGTTTTCAGTTCGTTTCGTCACTCATCAAAGTTAATTCTTCAGCCTCAGGTTCCCCAACCATATAAACAGTATATTTCTATAATGACTGAAACGACCCCACTGACAAACAATGGGCTGTGAGGTCAGTTTCTCCATTAATATGTAAATTGTCATGACCATTGATTAACAACCACTAAAAAATTATTGATCAATCACAATTGATCAGTGGCCATGAGTACCATTCACAGAGATTTGGGAAACAGCTGGTACTGGGGGCTTAAACAGCAAACAATTAAAGAGCAAGTAAACAGATTCTGGAAAAAAATTTTTTTTAAATCTCACCTCCTGCACAGCTCTATCTCACAGTGTACTTTGAGAACAGTTTCCTATCAAAAATTTATATTTTCTGTCTTATCCACAGAACAATATGGGATAATGTCACTGATTCAGCATTTGTATATTTACAGATTCAAATACATGCTTATTAGGGGTGCAACGATACACAAAATTCACGGTTCGGTTCGGTTCGATACTTTGGTGTCACGGTTCGATATTTTTTCGATACAAAAAAATGTTCATGCCTTTTTAATTTGTCATTTATTAAAATTATAAATATATATTTTAACTCAAAAGTACAGTTTTTAAATTTAACCCTAACCCTTGTGCGTGTTTTTTATTTTGACAGCGAATGCGCACCTGCGGACCACTTATGTGCAGCCCTGGTTATTTAGCTCGTCATATTGCAGCCACAGAAATTCTTTTGTCCATGAAACCATAAAGCTGCACTTTCTTTTTGCCTTATAGTCTGATTTGTCATAACTTCTCCGTTTTGTGGTAAGCTTTTCTTTGGCTGTCACTTCTTCACCCTGACCTGTCTTATTTGGCTCAGCAGAACTGAAATGCTTTTACACACGCACTCACATAAGCTCAGCGATTCTCTGCGCGATCAACCTCTCACATGTTTAAGCTGCTGCGGGAGATTTCACTTGTCATGTTTGCATAGTAAGCTAACGATTAATAAGACGATGTCAGAGGAATTGGTGCACAAATTATCATCACTCACAGATCAGTGCTGTCGCTCTCTATACACAGTTCCGATTGCAAAGTACAAAAAAACAAGCGCAAATTCAAACGCGATTTCAATATGTCACATATTGACAGTGGCTCACCGATGCCAATGACATAATTACCCAGCTACATTTCTGAAAGAATGCAAAAGCATTGACATATATTTTTCCTTCCTACAATAGCCCGACGGGCAGGGAAGAGATAGATTTTGGTAGCCCGACTGAAAAAATCGCTAGCCCCGGGACGTCGGGCTAGCGATATTGCGAGCCCTGTATCTGATTGAGGAATCACTCATCTTTGGAAAAGAGAGTTTATTACAGAGAAATGTCTCTTTCCAAAATAAAAGCTATACTATCCGCTTCTTCTGGGCTATATTCTCAGCAGCATATAGGAATCAGTAACAGCTGTCTAAATGACTCGGCTAAAGTTAGTAGCATGCTTGTTGTTTTCATGTCTTTGCACTAGGATGATGTCGGCGTAAATGTGCAGTCATATTCGTTGTGTTCCCACTAGTGCTTTCAGGTTAATCTCGTTGAAATGACCTTAACGCCACAACACGGCAAATCTCCGTTAACGAGCTACCGCCGATCGCCCCGTGCATGGGGCTAGACGGCCAACACGTTAACGAGCTAACTGCGCTAACACACTAGTTCCCACCCATGTAATTGAGCATTGCATGGCACATCCAACATACTGTTTTACTTTAGTCCATGACTCGCTTACCTTCAGGGTCATACGTCACATGAAAACCAAAATAATTCCAAACGCCAGATCTGAATGAGGGTGGGGAGGTCCATGTTGCAAGGAGAGCTTAACTTCTGTCTCGCTAGCTTGCCCTGCGCTCTTCCTTCTGACGATGCTGTCTGTGTTGAGCGCTCAGTGGATCTGCGCTCGACAGTGCAGCCTAGGCGGAGTAGTCGAACGCAGATTCACTGAGCGCTCAACACAGACAGCATCGTCAGAAGGAAAGTTGATAAAATAAATTACAAATTTTGTATTGTTCGATACATATGCGTACCGAACCGAAAGCACTGTATCGAATGGTTCAATATCGATACGAATATCGTTGCACCCCTAATGCTTATGTATGTGAGCTTTTACGTGCAGCAGCTTCACATTGTGGTCAGCGGTGGAATTACATCCATGCTGAAAATAACTAACACTGATTATCAGTGGGAAGAATTTAATTAGTGTTTGTGAAACAGAAATGTGGTTTGTAGTTAAAGGAGTAGTTATGTACTTTAAAAGAACCTGATTAAACATTAAACCAGGATAACATTTGGATGACATCTGATCAAATCTGGCTGCTGAATGAATTCATAAGTGAAAACTGACACAAACTGACACAAGCTGACAACACAAACATGTTTCCAATAATGACATTGAGCAACAAACCGAGACAACCAACTGTATTAGAGGCAAAAAGCAAAACACGTTTTTAAAAAAGAAAAAAAAAAAAACAGTTGTCCAAAGTGGGGAGCACAGTGTTGTGATGTCTAACACTGTTTCCTCACAGCACTACGATTCTGGGTACTAATCCGCCATCTGTCCTTAGTGGAGATTATATCTTGTCCCCATAGGTGTGCAAATGGTTGTCTGTGTTAGTCCGAGGACAAAAGGCCACCTGAACAGGGTGCCTCTCGTCGTGTGGCAGCTGGGATATTTTGTTTTTATTGTTGGTGAAGAACTGAAAACTCAGAATTTACATTTAGACTAGGATTTTGTTGAACTAACTAACTATTAATATATGAGGTTCCATTCAGTTCAAGGAATAAAATTTTAGCGTGGCTGCAACTTACTCCTTAAGTTAAAAATGATGCTGTATATTGTAGTTTATATGTTATACTACTTTCACAGTGAATCGGATTTTATAGTAATACACTCTGAATGAGGATTTAAGTAATTACTCTTAGATCTACAGTAGAAAACAACAGAAATCCGGATGGTGTAATAGTATAATCTCAGTAACATCACCAATTGTTACATTTGCTGTATTTTACAGCTATTTTCATGAGTACGGTGAGTTACCGTAAAAATAATGTAATCTCATGGAATTTTCCCACAATTACATGCAAATTACAGTACTAAACTGCTAACATCCTTTAGAGTTTTTTACTGTTGATTTTGCAGTACTAAGCTATGGAAATTACTGCAAAGGCTAACAGTGTGCTTTAAGTCATACAGAATAGATATCAGAGCCTTAAACAGGCTGGCTTCTGCTAAATGGGTCAAACTGGGCAGAAAGTATACAAACACATAACATCCTTATAGAATATGATGTAACACTATAGATCAACTTACCTCAGAATATATAAAGCATATAAACAATTACAGCAATATGATGCAACAAACACAGTACTACTAATCT